TCAACGTGTTGGTACCAAAACTTGACAAAAAAATGGGAAAACTATTGACCAATCTCTCTCATAAACACAGGAGAAAAACCCTTAAACAAAATATCAAGCAGAATTCATCAAATAAAGGATAACAACACACCAGAGCAAGTCGGGTTTTGTTGTAGGAATTTTAATCTGGTTACCAGTTGATCATCAATCAATGTAAGCAACTACATAAACTGTATTGTTTATACCCAATAAGATACTCAGAGTAATAAAAATTCAAAAACTACTGCAGTAGCAACAAACTATCTCACAAACATCATTTTTTTAGAAAAAAAAAATCCAAGTTATCTTTTAAAATTAAGATGTGTTTTGCAGTTTTCTGTCACTGTGATGAAAGCAGAAGGGCATGGGCGGCGGAAGAAAGTTGCTCCCCTGTTGTTAGGTGAGAGGTGGAAAGAGCAGGAGGAGGGATGTAGGGACAAGGCACATCCTCCATCCTGTCACGCCCCTGAGACCCACTTCTCCTATCTGGGCCTCACCACGTAGGAGCCCATTCAGCTCTGAACTCCTCAATGGATTAATCCATTGAGGAAGTCAGCTCTCTCCTGACCCATGCACTACTTTCTAAGGCTCCACTTTTGAGCATTGCTACGTTTCAAGTCAGAACTTCAGGTGCAGGAGTCCTTGGGAAGTGCTTCATATTTACACCATAATGCTGAGCTTAAACATTAAAAAATACCTTTTGTATGAGTTCACTTAAATGAAGTCCAAAATAGCACGAAAAATTTATGCAGAAGTCAAGGTGGTGATTATCTTTAGAAAGGTAGTGACTAGGAAGGAGCCAAAGAAAGGTCTTTAGGGTAAAGATGATGTTCTGTCTCTGATATGGATGGAGTCACACAGGAATGTGATCCTTTGCAGTAATTTGTCAAGTTAAACCACTAGTGATGATTGTGTGTTTTTCTATATCTATGTATATTTTAATACAAAAACAAATGTACATAAATTTGAGCATTGAAATTAAAAGCTGATAGTTAGAGACCCTAGAACTGTGAAATTCATGACCATAGCCATACAGATTCCATTTTCTTTCTTTCTTTTTTCTCTTTTCTTTTCTTCCTTCCTTTTTATTTTTTTTTTTTTTACCAGGGATTGAACTCAGACCCTTATTCTACAGAGCTATCTTCCCAGACCTCAGACTCCATTTTCCACACTGCTTTTGAAAGCTAAAGTATTCAGCACAGGATGGGAGACTTTGCAGTAAGATCTAATGTGTGTGGGGGGGTCCACACTTAGGGTAGATTGCATTTCACTAAATGTCACTTTCCTATTCTGCAAATGGGGCTAATGATATCCTCTCATGGGGCTGTTATGAGTTAATTAGATGACATAGGGACAATGCTTCATTAATACATGAAAATAACTAGTACTCAGTTGTGTAATTTCTGTCCCTCACTCCCATCACCGACCTCATTGAGGAGAGGA